GGATTTCTCGTCCTCTCTAGCACAAGCAATAGCTTTTAGAAAGGGCGTTAAACATGATTAAATTTAAAATTGTTTCAAGGTTGTCAATTTTTTAACATTTCTTGCAGTAATGTTCTATCAAGCCAGTTAATTAAAAAAACAAATGAAGAGTTATTGATGAATAAAAATAGGATTAATTCGATTAAAAAGTATGTATTGAAATTACGAAATTAAAATACTTTAAAAATTAAAAAAAAAAATACTATTTTGTTTGAGGTATCTTATTACACTAAAGTTGGTGTATAGATAATTTCATTTATAAACATTTTTACACTCGTATATTAATTTGAAAAAATTAAAATTTGAAAAATTAATCGAATAATAAATATTGCAAACAAAACAAAATATAAATTGCAGTTTAAGCTTTAAAGTTATTTGAATAAAAAATGTTATAGAAATGAAAATAAATCTCATAATACAAATATCATTCGAGTGGTTGTACGACAAGCGGAACAAAAAAAAAAATGTAATCTAGTAGAAGATCAAAATAAAATAAATGAAGAAAGTCGATGGACTAATAAGTTAACATTTCCACCACAAAAAATTTCTTCAATATCAGGAGAGAAGATTGAAAAATCACGTCGATCCAAAAATCAAAATCCTGTCATATTGTTAAAACCAGAAAACATAGTAGCGCACTTAAGAGGTCTTTCGTATGCACAAACATTAGGGAAAATGAAATTAAAAATAAATAAAAGTGCCCTTTGATATTGTAAAAATTGAGAACAATAACAAAAATCTTATAATATTAAATGATATACTATACATAAAATTTTAAGCTAAATAAAATATCTAAAAATAATATTCATTTATTTAAAAAAAATTTAGCAATATAAGACGATTCTATAGTAAAATAAAAATTATGTTTGAATTATTCATTTTACTTTTTTTAGTTTCATGTAATTTTTAGTTAATCATTCAATAAATATTTTTTACTTTGAGAGACAGAATTATGTGTGGATAAATAAAGTGGATAAAAGTGTCTGGTGTTTTGTGCGATAAGATAATCCCAATAAGTCTGAAAGGTAAATTCTATAAAACTGTAATGTGACCAACTATATTTCATAGATTAAAATGTTGGGCGGTTAATAATGAAGTTGAACAGAGAGTGACAGTAACAAAGTTGAAAATACTTGGTTGAGTGGAGTGACAATAGATTATAAGGAATGAATATGTAAGAGGACACATAGGAGTAGATCGTCGATCGCTAATGAGAGAAAATAGACTTAAATGGTTTTGGTTTGTGTAATCATGTAGTGTACTATTGTTGACGAAATATGGTGCACCAGTGTTGGTACTCAAAAAATTGACTGAAATTCTTGAAGTGTGTAGATGTATATAGATTTAGCAGATACCCCGATTACAATTCCGTATGTCCAGAAATTCAAATCTATAGTAAATATTTTTTAAACGCTCTTATCTTAAATTACATTAATTTACCCATAATTCATAAGATTATTATAATAAGTAATTATCATTCATCTTTAATTGAAATTATAGAAATTTTAATATAAATTTTTAGCTTACAATACTTAATAACATTTTGAAAGAAGATAATTACAACCGGTATTCTGCATAATGAAGACGCATATATTTGAAACTTGTATAGATTGAAATCTGACAAAAATATAACTCAATGTCAAAAACGATCAATACGAACTTTCTTGATGGAAATTAGGTGAAATTTTTTAGAAGAAGGATATTTTTCATTTAACTGACAGATTTAGTGACCAAAATTATAATGAAAATATTTTTTGAAATAAAATGGATAAATTCTAAAAAAAAAAAATTTCATTCGACCATTTTCTTGGATATTTTGAATTATAAAATAAATTTAGAATAGCAAAAATACAAAGGAAACCCGATATAAAGATGTCTATTATTTATTGAAATTTGACAGTGATATTACTTAACGCAATCATACATAATATAACTACCAGTAAAAATGGATTACGATTTCTTCTTAATATACAGAGTAAAATGTCCAATTCAGTTTTTTATTAAGACTATACAGCTCTAAACTACTCTACTATCTCAACATAAACACAACAGAGGGTCTTAGTATATTAGAGGCAGCAATTAGAGTTGTGTAAACTTTACAACATTAGGGTGGTCCTTATTTTACGAATTTCGAAATTTCTTTCAGGATACCTTGTCATTTTTTTTTTTTTTTTAGTATATAAAAATAATATTTTGAAAATTTAAGATCATTTGGAAAAATTTTAATTGAGGCGCATAGCATTTTAAGATTTTGACCTCGAATTTTCGAAGAATATTCTATAAAACAGCATAAAACCTATATAAGAGGTTATCGAGTGATTTTTTCTATAAAAGTCTACGTACAAAAAAAACCTTATGTAAAGAGAAATATTTTGATATATTATTTTTAATAATTTATTAAATTTTTAAACGTGATATCAATATATTGATAAAACAGCTTATTTTTTATACTTTGTTACTTTAAAAGTTTCAACACTTCATTACAACTTTTTCAAATGTTTATACTGACTTGAATAAAAATTACTTAAGTTGAATTTTATAGCACTGAACTAGTATTAGTTGAAATAAATCATAAAAAATGAAATATAGTTAAAAAGATAGCTTTTTATGAAATTAAAAAAAACGAATTTTGCAAAGAAAAGAAGAACAATTTTGTTCTTTTCAAAAATTTTCATATTCGATAAAGTTACTATTAAGAAATTAAATGGGTCAATAGATGGTATAATAGGTTTTGCAAAAAAAAAAAATTTAGCGAACGAAAATTAAGAGATGATTATTGTTAACTTTAAGAGCTCACAATTATATTTTTAAGTGGAATTCCTCTTCATGGCATATCATTTAGAGACCCCAGAGCTTTTCGTCGTGCTATGTGGATGGCTAAAGCAATTTATATTTTTACAATTTTTCTTTTTTAAGGCCAATTAAAAATAACATTACAGGCGTTAAACGGTTTTAGATATATGTATCTGTCTATCAATAGTATATATTATAGCCTGGATAAACGTAACAAACACAATAAAAGCTCCATTTTTTTACTTATGTTTCTTAAAAAGCCTTTTCGTATGTAAAGATTTTGATGAAAACAAAAGTTTGTAAACAGTAAAAAAGTTTTGTAGCCATTTATGGTATTCAGCACCATAATATGCACTATTAATTGTATTTTTTACTCCATATAATAAAGTATCAATATATATTTAAATATGTATATTTATTTAACCTTAAGGTGACATACCCCCTCTACCTATCTTTAATTAAACTGTGTGTTATTACTTTTTAAAGTATAAAAAGTCGGCCGAGCAGAATAAAATCCTCAAAAACTAATAAAATATTCTTAGTTCATTCGTAAACGTTAACAGTAATGGATGTATTTGGTTCATCATTAGAAAGTAAAAGAATAAAAAAAATATGCAAACTAGAGTCTACATTAGCTAAATTAGAAACAGATATTATAAAAATTATTGAAACGCTTAGTAATTATCGAAAAATAATTGAAAAAATAAATGAAGAAATACACGGAGTAGAAGTTAAAATTGAAAATTGAAATACTAATTTCAACGCAATAGACTCAGCTTCTAAGTTACGATATAGTAAGCTAGAAGAACAGATTAATAAAACTAAAGGTTTTGTAAAATACGAAGGCCATACTGACTCTAGTGTACATTTTTTTTTTAAACAAAACGTCGTAGAACAAGATCTGTATTCTACACGTACTAGTTAACAAACTAAATAATGGCTACAGCAATAGCCGATTTTGAGTGTATATTGGGATCGAATAACGAGTATCTTATAAAAGAACTATCTATAGTGGATACTGACACTTATGCTACTCAACACTGGATATTTAAACACGCAACTCCAACAGATGAAAAAAGTCGAAATGTTAACAAATGGTTGAATAAACACTGACATTCAATGCAACCTCAGTACGGATACGTAGAAATTGAAGAACTACCAAGAATTTTAAACTCGTTAAAATTTACAGAGATATTTGTAAAAGGATTACAAAAAAGAGATATTTTACAACAGTATATACCCCATGTAAATGTGATTAACATGGAAGATATTGGATGTCCTCGCATAACGCAACTGTCAATAGATAATTCATATCCATCATGTTTATTTCATATGAATTTAAATCCAACTTATTGTAGTTTTTATAAAATGTTTATGTTAAGAAATTGGTATATAAATAACTCTTAATATGTATTCAATTTATATGTATTTGTAATAATCAATGTATTATGCTTTAAACATTCAAGTTAAAAAATAAAATATATTTACATAACATTGCAGTTATTTTTTTTTTTTTTTTTATCGTAATAATGTCATAATATACGTAGTATGTATACTACCATTAAGTTAGCTATTGTAAAATACAATACACACCAAGGGTGTGAAATATGAAATGTATAAAAAAAATTAATGCCATCCATTAATGAGTTTTATAGTTCTCTGAATGAGAGCCATATAACAGAAGATTATAAACACGCGCAAAAAGTTTGGGATCATTTTGAATGTACAACGTTGGGGCAATATAGTGACTGGTATTTGAAATTGGATGTGTTGTTGTTATGTGATGTACTTGAATCTTTTAGAGACATCTGTTTAAAAACGTATGGATTAGATCCTAATTATTATTACACCGCACCGGGCATGTCTTTTGACTGTATGTTAAAGCATACAAAGATCGAGTTGGAACTTTTAAATGACTACGACATGCTTATGATTAGAGCAGGGTATTAGAGGGGGTTTAACAACTGCAGTTCGCAGATACTCTAATCACATAAGCTAATCACATAGGACTTCCTGATTATGATGATACTAAGCCGGATAACTGGATTGTTTATCTCGATGCTACAAATTTGTGAGTAAAATTGATTTTTTTTTTTTTAAATTTTAAATAATAATTATAGTTTTACTATAATATATAATTATTATTATTATTTTTTTAATACTTTCAGATATGGATGGGCAATGTCGCAATACTTGCCTAAAGATGGGTTTAAATGGAGCGAAAAAAATTTAAGTGTTCCGGAAGTTTTAAAGAGATTGGAAGAAACACCAGCTGATTCGTGTAAAGGGATGATATTAGAAGTTGATGTTTCTTATCCGACGCAATTGCATGATAATCATAATGATTTACCATATTTACCTGATAAAAAAATACCAACTGGATCTAAATTTCCCAAACTTTTAACCACATTGGAATATAAAAAAAAATATATTGTACACTATAAATCTTTAAAGCAAGCGTTACAGGCAGGATTAGTTTTAGAAAAAGTACACCGTATTATTGAATTTAATCAATCACCTTGGCTCGCAAGTTACATTTCTCTGAATACAAGGATGAGGGCGATGGCGAAAAATACTTTTGAAAAAGATTTTTACAAACTTATGAACAATTCCGTGTTTGGTGCGTTTATTTTTTCATATATTTATTATTATATACTTAACGATTATTATTTTGTAATTAAATATACATAATATTTTAGGTAAAACGATGGAGAACGTTCGCCTAAGATTGAAAATGGAACTTACTAGCAGCGAGGCAAGATACAGAAAACTTGTCAATTTACCAAACCATAAAGGCACAACAATATATGGTGACAACTTGTGTGCTGTACATTTACATAAAGACGATTTAGTTTTTGATAAGCCCATGTACATAGGATTTGCCGTTTTAGACATATCTAAAACTCTAACGTATGATTTTCACTAAAGCGTTATATGGAGAAAACATTGAACTCCTATACATGGACACTGGTAAATTCACAATTTTATTTGTTTATTTTAATTTTATTTGTTTATTTTTATTTCGTGTAATTAAATCTTATGTTTTAGATTCATTGATATACCTGGTGAAAACAAAAAAATTTTATGAGGATATAGAACATAATCGAGGGTTTGGAAAAACTGGATACTTCAAACTATCATGTTAACCATCCATGTTACCGTACAGAGCGTTGCAAGATTCCAGGCACTTTCACAGACGAAACTGGTGGAGAGTTTATTTCAGCACATGTTGCTCTAAGATCTAAAGCATACGGTTTTATTCAAAATACTAAAGAAATTATCAAAGCCAAAGGCGTGGCCCATCATGCCGTAAAAAACCATATAATATTTGAAAATTATAAACAGTGTCTTTTTCAGGGAATAATCGATTTACCCGAAGATTATACTCCTTATAGAGAAATGCGATCCTTTAGATCGTACAAACACCAAATTAAGTCGATTGATAGCACAAAGCTAGCGTTAAATAGGTACGACGATAAAAGGGTTGTGTTAAAGGATCAAATTCATACATTAGCATATGGACACTACAAAATTGAGTGAGTTTGACCATCTTTATTAGAACTGTAATATACATACATATTAATTTACAAATTTAATTTTAGGAGTTTGAAAAATCAAGGCGGATTGGCAAATTTCTGTATTTAATCATACTTTGTATTTATGTAAATAATTGTAATTCTGTTTTTAAATTGAATGTTAAAAATAGCTCATTTATTTAGAGCTTTTTCTAAAATATGTTAATTAAACTTAATTTACTTCTGTTTATGTAAATAAATAGCTGCCATGTTATGTAATTATATTTTTAATTTTTTTTTTTGAATTTACATGTTTAATAATAATTTTTACGCTTTATATTGTTATCATACATTATACTATTAATTGTAAATTAATCGATTAATAAACTGTTAATTACATAACATTCACTCTCGTATACTACAATGCTTTCTTTTTTCAGTGTTAAAATATTTTTACTTTCTAATAATTTGCTATCCTACCCTAAACAGTTAGACTAACCTTTAACTGACTTAAACATGTATTTAAATGATATATGTTAAATACCATATACAACATTCAGCGAATGCATGGTTTAATTAGAAAGATTCATTAACGATTACTCATTAGCTCAAATAATAGTGCATGTGTATATTTTAGCTGATTAAAGTAAATACTTTCAATTAGAAAACATCAATAACTTATACTCGTTAGCGAAAATAATTATTTGTTTGTGTTACTGAACTATCGAATAGAATTTGACTCAATATCAAAAATTTAGTTGTAAATAATATTGCACTGTAAATATCTTTATAAATATATTATTAAACTCTAAGTTTAAAATAAACGATATTAAACGTAATATCACTGTTATTCTAATTCATTCTATTAAACTACTTATTAAGGACACGAATTAAGGAAAGTCAATTTTTTTTTTTTTTATGTTGTACACACTTTACACATGTAGTTATGTTTAGGTAGCGTTGGGTTAAACGCCGCCGTCATCACCACTAACGTTGACGCTTCCGTCGTCACCGTCTTAATTATCTTTGTTCTAATGGNGTCATCACCACTAACGTTGACGCTTCCGTCGTCACCGTCTTAATTATCTTTGCTCTAATGTCTTTTTGTATTTTAAATTTTGACTTTAACTACTTATTTGTGAGTGCGTGGAAATAAATAAAATCATTAAGTAATTTTTCTAAAATAGACCTTTTGTTGGGTTTCGTCGGGTTAAAATGCCGCCGCTCTCGCCCTGAAGCAATACCTCGCGGTAGTTCCAGGGCGGTCCACAATATGCCGGTTTGTGGAAAAAAAAAAAAAATTTCACATTTCACATTGTGAAATTGAGCCAGAACATATATTTCTTATCTACTTTATCCGCACTATCCATCTACTTTATCCGCATGGGTAGAACTCTACCAGTTCCCGCGCCCCTTGCAGATCTCCTTTATTCGCTAGGACAATTTCATTCCCGGTCAATAGGGACAATATTTGATATTACGCAACCGGTTCGCCCTGCGAACCCAGAGCCGTGGTGGACAATCTCCCCACAAATCCAAGACTCATGGGCCCTCACCCTTTATAGGACTCAGTCACTATACACAATGCGTGAGTTTCCAGCCCCCTCTGAGTATAAGGATCGTAGCATCAACGTTACCGCTATTAGCGATAACGGCTCCCTCCGCTCCGTTCGGAGTCGAACTAACGAGCCAACCCCCGCAGATGGATACCTAAGAATGGTGAACGATGAGATATTCGTTACACCCATTCCATACGCTGATTGCGACATTCGTATTGTCGAATCGCTTGAGCGAACGTCAATCGTCCAATCCTATGTCGGCTCTTATGTTCTTGCGACACTGGCATAATGCCTATTAACTTTATTTATTATGTTTGTTTTCTCGTTTAAAATTAAATGTAGCTCTTACTACATTTGTTTCGTTTTGTATGTTTTAAAGTTTTATCACTTTGACTACTTTGTTTTCTTTATTTTATTATTTGCATCTATGGAAGTCCCATAGTCTACCCTTGGTGGGTATATATGTTTTACTTTTTATTATTTATTTTATTTTCTTATCTACTAATCCAATATACCTTTGAAAACTAATTGTAAACTGATTGGATATGCGAAACCTAGGCAAGTATTTTCAGAAACTTTAGAAGCTGCTTTATCTAATTATTGGTTCATTGTAGCAGAATCTATTATGGCCTCACTCCATTGGACGTTAAGTTGTTGGCATATGAATATGCGAAAGCAAATGATGTTGCTTATCTCAAAAACTGGGATGCTCGTAAACAAGCCTCTAAAGACTGATTTACTAGTTTCTTAAAAAGGCATCCCATGTTATCTTAACGTTTACCTGAACCAACTAGTCTTGGGAGAATCATTAGCTTTAATAAACACAATTTCGGTATTTTTGTTGATAATCTACATAGTCTGTATGTGAAATATCAGTTAGAAGGGACAACTGTAACTATGGTCTTTGCTGTCAATGCCATAGGAAACTCTTTGCCACCTATACTTATATTTCCAAGAGTTAATTTTAAACAGCATTTTATAAGCAATGAACCTACTGGCTGCATTGGAGCTAGCCACCCAATTGGATGGGTAACTGCATTTTCCTTTTTACAGTTTGTTGAACATTTTCAGAAACATGTTTGTTGTAGTCCATCATCTCCGGTTTACATAGTTTTAAAATTGTTATACGCAAGACTGATTTTACCATAAGACTTTGTACTATTACTTTTTGTTATTTTTTCGAATAATATTTATCAAATAAAATAAAATTGAATATTATAGAAACTTGCCCCCAGTATGTAACAATTTACTCCGATTCGGGGCGAGTTGTTACTTTTTGATCTGATGAATCAAAACATTATTTTCTTTGATTAAAAATGTTTCTTTATTTCTTTATATATATTTGTATGATACTTAAGAATTAACTGCATAAAACGAATGAATATTCATCCAGATAATAATTAATGTGAAATTCTAAAAATTAAAAATGTACAAATTGTAACAACTAACCCCGCTCTTCCCTATTTCATTTTTTATGATTTATTTCAACTAATACTAGTTCAGTGCTATAAAATTCAACTTAAGTAATTTATATTCAAGTCAGTATAAACATTTGAAAAGGTTATAATGAAGTGTTGAAACTTTTAAAGAAACAAAGTATAAAAAATAAGCTGTTTTATCAATATATTAATATCACGTGTAAAAATTTAATAAATTATTAAAAATAATATATCAAAATATTTGTCTTTACATAAGGTTTTTTTTTGTATGTAGACTTTTATAGAAAAAATCACTCGATAACCTCTTATATAGGTTTTATAGAATATTCTTCGAAAATTCGAGGTCAAAATCTTAAAATGCTTACAGATAAGTTAGAATTGAATTTAGGCACTAATAAATGATGCGGCTCATGATGAGTTTTAATGAAGATAACTATTTTAAATGTTTCGACTTTAGTGAAGGCTTTCGCTGTTAATTTAATTACACTTTCATGCTAAATTTTCCTTAAATGTAGTATAAAAAGTAATACAACCATTGTTAAACTAAGAAAGTGGCTTAGTCTCTTAAAAATTTAGAAAATTATGTTTATTGTTATTTAAATTTTTTTTTAGAATGGGGAAGGATACATTTAGCCCTTTTAAAATGTTCTTTATAGTAGCATCTATGAATTAAAATCTTGAAACTTCTATTAGACTTTACATAAAAAACATAAATAAATACAACATGGTAAAATTAATACTTTTTCAGCTTCGCATCGAAGCTAAAATATAACTTAATAAAATATGAAAAATAATCTTAAGTCTGCACAGATTAAAAACTTAAGGTTAATTTCGGCATGAGTATAAAAGTCAAAATCGAAAAATGATGCGTTACAGAAACTATTTTATAATCTTTAATTTACCTCAAACTATCCATTAACTGTCGATAGATCAACTGTAATATTAGAAATTATATGGACAAGTTACTTTAACCTGAGTTAAAAATAATTATTAGTTGGTAGTTGAAAAGTACACTACAATTCCTATAGGAATAAGTTTGGAAACGTTGTTTGCGTATTGAATAATAATGTTATAATGACCACTGATAATTTTTGTGTAAGCCTACAAACTACTACATGAATTATGTTTGACAGCATGACGTACTTTAAATGACACTAATTGTTGATAAAGCGACTATAACAATTGAACTCGTTTTAACGGTCCAGATAAAAGTGATCACTAGATATGTATGTTAGATACCAATGCTAAATTTTCTATAAGAAAAAGTCCGGAAACATTATGATATGCATTGACCGATAATGCTATATTCTTCAAATACCTTAATAAAAGATAGCGTATAAGAGAGTGATTTTTAAAATGTCCATTTAAGTTCTTTTTACAGGCTTTAATAAAATTTTTTTTTTCTTAATAAATTTGCAGATAATTTGCAATTGATATCATCTTTATAAAATTAAAATCATAAAAATGATCATAACAAAATCTGTCTTTAAATAGGATATTTTTCTACCCTTAAAACGACGATTATTTATTTAAAAATGGTTTAAAATTATTTTATCTATAATTCTTTTTAAAATTGAATTCTCTATTGAAGTGAGTAGGAAAAATTAGTGGTTGCCATTTAAGTTTCTTAAGTTAGGGTAGATTTTTACCCTTTTACATTAGTGTTGAACTTTAATTGTAATCGTAAAGGTGCATTCGATTATCAATTAGCTTAAAAAAAAAAAAAAAAAATTATTAAAAAATCAATAGAGACTCTAAAAAATTGGTGTTTCCGAACTTATTGAACATACTGTATAAATCATTTTGACATTTTATAGTAACATAGTTTTTACACATAAGATTAGGATTGATACAATATATTTAATTACTATTATTAAAATAAAAAAAGATGACGAAAATAATTTATAGATTTCTTTTAGGATGAAAGGATTTTAAAAGTGACTATCAATTTATGATAGAATTGTGTGTATTATAATATAACTAAATAGTGTGTGTTTGTTAAATGTTTCTCTTAAATGTTTAATTATATTATTATAGTTTGAAAAGAATTATGTCCTTCTAAGAATATAATGTATAATGAAATAAATAAATATAAATATAGTGGTTTCACTTCTATAAATAGAATATTATTCTAAACGAAAAAATAATAAAATACCATTAGTGTAGACACAAACACAGCAGTCTAGTGTTAACCCATGTAAATGGTAGTGACTAGTATATTACGACAAATTAATCAATAATAAAAAATACATTATTATTTTTCGAAGAAGTGACTTTAAATTATCAATTCATAATCCTCGATTAATTAATCCATGTAAATGTTTTCAATATTTTATCTTATTATATGTAGATTTAACAAACATCAGTGCGGATGTTGTGTTCTTTGATCTAAGAGATAGAAACGCTGTAGTACCTTGAAGGTACGACATTAATCAATCGTTATAATTAAAACGGTGTTCTGTTGCTTATAAATAAACACCAAAAATCAATAACATAATTGGTAACCTTGTAATGTAGTTTTCTTGTTTACAAGTTTCAAATTCATAACTTCATCACTGTTATTAAGTAAATAAACTATTATATTAATTAAATCATTAGATTTAAATGAAAATAACCCAATGAATAATAAAATTTATGTTTCTTAATTATAAACTATTATACTAAGAAAAATATCATACTTTTTATGATTTTTTGTTTATTGAAAAAGTAAATTAACATTTTTTAAAGTGTATTTAGTTCATAATTTTTTTAAATATAATATTGGTATTGTTCCTCCTACATAACTTAACTTACTAGAGTTAATTATTTCTATTAACTTACCTATTTAATATTTTTATAGGATAAGATCATTATAATAATAATTTATTATAACAATCAACTAAAGTTCTACAATAGTATTGAATAAACTGCTAGGTATGTATTTTAATTTAAATACCTATATTATTTGAACACCGAATTTACTTTTTTTTAATAAATTTATTATTATTTTTAATTATTAGTAATCAGCATACTTAACATTAATGGTCTCTAGTGATAAGTTTATAAAAAATGATTTCTAATAGTTAAACCATTATTATTATATATTTATACTTTCAATTAATACGCGTATTTTACTTTGGTGATTACTTTATCTTATTCGCCAATCTTTGTTTATTTATTTTCTGATTGTATATATTGTTCCTGGTAATAGCATCATTGACCTAAGTGCTATAATATCGACTAAAGTGACAAGTATAGCTGTAGATTAGGGAGGCCCTAAAATCGAATGTTTCTGTTTTTACTCTACCCCTAATTGTTTTTTAATGCTCAGTGAATGCTTCGGATCTCTCAACATGAGTTGGCGAGACTATTTTAATATAAATAACTGAACTGTGGGGTATAACATGGTGCCATGTTTCTCTCAGCCGCATATCACATTATAAACTTTAGTCACAATACAATAGCTAACAAAAGTGTAGAAATTATTAAATGATTAGCAATAGTATCAGCGATAATAGTTGAGATTAAATACAATTAAAAAATTGTAGGGATATTTGTACTAATTGTTTAATGAATAATGGTTTATTCGACGAGTAAAGGGAATAAGTAGTCAATTCAATTGACAGTCTAGAGATAGAAAATGGAACTGAAGGGACCTATACTTGGAAGAAGCTTCAGGTTAGCAAAATAGTATTGTATCTATTGTCCTTTTTAAAGAGTAACGGTAATCTGTCCAACGGAACATATATATATATATAGTCTCAAGCTTCGAAGTAACCGTCTTTTACACGTTCTGTCTAAACTTCTTTTTAAGCCTTTTGATTTGACTGCGGATTAGCTAAAAGATGTGATCAGTGTAATCTACAGCGGGTTTCATGAACATGGATGATTATGATCTGCTTATGAGTACAGCTAGATAGCGGTAACGGTACTAATGCGTTACAAAGTCAATATAGTAATTTTTTAATATTTGGTATTGGTAATGTTACAGTACAAAATTAATCTTCGCTATTAAAAATTTAATGCTGTCAAACTACTTACCAGAAATTATAAATTTAACACATCGAGTATTTGACAACAGACCGTTTTGACGATCTGTTTTTCCAATATTCCTTGTGAAACATCAAAATAAAATCAATCACAAAATATATTTTTAGTTAATATATATATTTATATTTATTTCAGGAAAATAATGAACTGATGATAAATATACAATTTTCGATGTATGCTTAGCTTAAATAGTACACTAATTTTATAACGTTTATATTAGTTATTGTATTGTTTCATTCGTATTTAATTTACAGTATATCTATATAATGAGTTACATAATTTTTAAATAGGCAGTACAAGTTATTTCATTAAGACAAGTGAAGTATAATACATAGAGACACAATTTTTAAACATTAATAGTGTTTTTAATTTTACAATATTTTAAATTATAAATATTATTAAATGTTGCAATTTAATCCCTCTAGTTTATTAATTTTCGATATTACATTAAACAGTGTTATAAAATATTTTATTTAATAATAATAAGTGATAAAAATAATAATAACTTAAGTGTCTATTGTCATAGGTAGTCATAATTTCCATTAATTGACGTATTAAAAACTACAAGCTAAAAGTATAGTTGTTAAGCTGTGCGATAATTTTATTAACATTCACACAATTACATGATTTATATTGTTACAATCATCATTGCGTACATTTACCCTAAATATTTTATAGTACAGTATAACTATTGTAACAAAAACACAGCATTTTATACGATGATTTTTAAAAAGACAACAATTATTATCATACATGTATAAAGTGCAATGAGAATGTTATTTACAATTCTAAGTAACATTATTTCTTAAACAAACATAAAAGTAATGGTTATAATGAGCTAGGCTCAATGAACCCAAACTTTTAATATATAAAAGCCTTTTTTATTATTATTTCCATTACGACTGACAATAGTCGATAGGAATAAAATGTTCTCATAGTGTTTACTATAACTACTGGTTAACATAAAAAATACACAAATTTTGAAATGCATTAGCTTTTTGCAGTCCAATAAATGTATTCAATTCTTAATCAACAACATAGATCATAATTAAGACTACTATTATTTAATATTAAACTATTAATAAATTTCCTAATTATGTTGATATCCGCTTACCGCAAAGTAAAATTGCAATATTTTTTCTAACATTTATGTAAGTGGATTTGTTTATTTATAATCTTAATCATGAGTTACTATTACACAATTATTCGGTAGGTAACGTTACTGTTTTGTTAATTATAATTTGTCTAAAGTAAATTAAATTCTACTAAGTAAATAGCGAGTTCTTCGGAGCTTAAAAAATAACATAGAGCTCATAAACGAAATTAGTTAATAATCTAAAACCAATTATTTATATTTAAATTATAATTAGCTAGTAAAAAAATGGATATGAAAAAACTGTTGTAGTAGTGAATTAATAATAATATTTAATTGGGTAATAATATGTGTTCAGTGGAATTACTTAATCATATTTTTTATGAAATTTAATTGGACGGATATTCAACTCATATGAATAACTCAATTACAGCATATAGGAAGTGATTTACAATGTGATCAGTCTAAAAAGTACATTAGTTATATATATGGGAATATGAATTAAAAATATTTAACTAAAGTAAAAATAATCATATGTATAATAGATATGTAAAAAAACCGATGGAAGATTGTAAATTTGAAACATGCTATTTATTTCAAATTATTTTCCATAAAATACATTGATATGATAAGTACTTTAAATAAGAGAGGAAATAAACGTAAATGCATTGTTCGAATAATAATCATTTGTTAAGGATATAAATAAAATCGAGGGAATATGCTATCAATACAGCTTTGGAGGATGTAACATGCAAGTCATAATAAGGGTAAAAATAAACATATAGCTTTGATATGTAAACTACAGGGATATTTAAACAAAACGAGACATTCACCTGAACGATACTATTGTATTTTTTATTATATGTCTCGTGAAATTAAAAGGGGCAGTCAATATATTTTATTATTAAATAAGTTAATTGACTGCTCATGGATAATATAAGAAAACAAATATTCAATAATAATATGTATTACAATGAATATACTAAAATAATTTTGTTTATAAATTGAGGTAAATTATACAGTGATCGTTTTATCATAAACCACTCTATTACTCATAAAATAAATACAACGTTAGAAAAAGAAATCTGATTTATTTTAGTTACATATAGTATTGGTTTGTCAGCTAATAATTATTTTTTTTAAATCATCTCTTGTAACTTAAAGTGGTCTCAATTTTATTTTTTTTAACGGAAAAATATTTAATTAGCTTATAAAATAGGAAAATAGCAATGATAAAAATAGCAACACCCACTTCTTCGTCCCGTCTAGGTATAAAAATGATAATAGCATCTTGAGTACTAGTCCAAAAGTTGTTATTAAAAACTTAATTTACTTTCTTAATTAGATAATTATCTATTTTATAAGTTAATTAAATATGTATATTACCATTTAGAGAAATAAATTTGTCACTCTTAAACGTTATAAAATATGATTCTAAAAAGTAATGAATAGTTGATAAATCAAAAACAAAAATAAAATATATAACTAAAAAAAACCAAAAATTATTTTTTTTAATTTTGTATTTATTTGGACAGTAATCGAAAAGCCTGTATGTATATAAATATGCATGTACATGTTTTTCTTTACTTAACGCGTATGTTAACCCTTTTCAACTAAAAAGTCAATTTGACAGTAAGAAAAAAATGAAGAGCGAAGCACTTTAGTTCACAAAATCGTTACGAAACTTGAATGTTAATTTATCGCATCGGTTAGCTATTAGAATTGTAAGAGGATACAAAAGAGGAAAAATTAAGAACAACAGGAGAGCGAAAATATTAAATGAACGACGATTGAAGATAAATTTTTATTTTTGTTAACTAGGATTATGCAATCTGAAATTCTAAAAATTAAGTACTTGTATAAAAAATAATTATAAAATTGTTTACATTGAATTGTATAGTTGTTTTAACTTTAAAATAAAAATAATAATATTAAAAAAATAGGGGATTGTTTTTCTATATGATAACTATTATGATTAATTTTTAATTATGTACAGTTAATAGTTACCATTGATCTCACTTGATTTTCATTAAACTATATTACTACACTGATTATCAATTGATAAATAATTAAATTTGATTGCAGTATAGACCCGAAAGTAATGAACTAGTGTGCATGAAAATTGCGTACACTTAATTTGAAAAAAAAAATATTACAAAAATTGTTTTAATGAAGTTATTATGGCAAAAAAAAACAAATGTGTATGTCAATTTGTATAGGAAGTGCAACAATCCGAATGCTGCAAATGCCGGCCAGGCGAGGTACTACCGGTTTCACCCTGCTGGGCTACGGATTAGGTCATTCTCTAAAAAAAAAAACAAAGAAAAAAAAATTTACGAGATATGTTTTATATAAAAGCGTTTCAATAATTACATTATTGATTTAGAACCGTGGTCGACTCTAAATTAGTCAATTTAATTTTTAATAAATTATCTTTAATCTAAATAATTTTTGTTAGGTGTATAAATATACATTTTGTAATAAAAATACTAATACTCCCAATTTACTTATTCAGAACTATGAACAATATATGTTGACTTATCTGACGTATATGGGACTACTGATTGAGTATTGATTTAGTTTAAATTAAGTTGAGAATTCATCGTTGAAATAAATGTGATGTTTAATAATGCAATATCAATTTAGTTAGAATAAAGGTTGTCACAAAGGTGTTGTGACAGGTTTGACTTGTACACCGCGAACGATGAGTAAAATTAGATACCGATCCTCCAATGGAATGACATATGAAATGCAACAATATTGCCACTGAACTGTCAAAAACAATATGGTCCAACTTTTGCATAAACAATAACATTTAATGTCAAGTTGTGTTAGACTGTTTTTAGACTTATCAGAAAATTATTTACAAAATATTTTTAAAGACCAGTCAGTTTCCAAATCAACAATTTAACAATAAAATTAAAAGTACTGACATATGGCGCATGTAAGGCGCCTTAAATTATACAAAGAGATGAGTAGTCTCTTTTACTTGACAACATAGCAACAAAAAATCGTTTTCAAGTACACTAAAAACAAAAAATAAGACAATCAACACGATAGTGATGAAAATTTAATGCTTCTGACGGCGTACTGAATATTAAATGAAAAGAACATACTTAATGTCATTATTAAGTTTGTTTAAAATTATTTATGCAATCTAAGGAATTGTAACTTTGTCTCAAGACTTTTGTGACTCCCGTTATTTTAATCAAAGTGGGTTTACATTATTAAACGTGACATTTATTTTAGCGATTAACTTTCAATTTAAACAAAACCTATTATTGGAAAATTCCTTGTAGCCTGTATAGTATTGTCTCGGTGCGCAGGTATAGAGGTACGATTCCACACCGCCAAACTATACAGATTTCTCCTCCTCTCTTATACAAGAATTCAGTTATTTAGTTAAGATGTTTAACATAGAATAGAAGCAATAAATAAACATCTTTTATTTAAATAATCATAAGCGAATCTCAATTTTTTTCCGTATATATAACTTGTAATCCTTTAATAGTATTATATTTTTCCTTAGTAAAAAGTAAATAAATAGATGAACTCACCTACACGAACCATTCCTCTTTTTGTACCGAGGAAATATCGCTGAAAAAAATCAAAATAATATAAATACTTAAGCAATGGAAATTTAATATATTATTTTTCTCAATAGTAATTTACATTACAATATATTACATCGCAATTTTTATCATTAAAATTACGTCGTTGCTACAAATTCTAAAGCTACTTCATAGCTAAGCCTTTTTATAAATAAATTCAGTTTCCATCGTACATAAATGTTTTTAAAATATCTCTGAAACCTCAACTTTCATGAATTCAAATAAAAAATATACATTACTCTGTGACAATGCATAGTATTTTCAAATATGTATCGAAATGCGTGTAATTGTGTTATATATATGTTGATATATAAGTAGAAACATGTTTATACTGTTCCGGTGTAACAGCAATGTTGCGCTTTAAAATATTCTTGAAAAACAAATTAATATACAGAGTAGTTCATTTAACACTAGCCTTTCAATTTCTCTTAAAATAATAATTTTTTTGTGACTTTTTTTTTTTTTGGCTTATGTTTGTTACGTATGTGACTCCACTTTTATTTAAAAAAAATATTTTTATGTAATATAACTTTCGTGATGTAGAGAGACAAGTTTACAGAGGTCAATTATTTCTTGAGGAATTTAAGTTGGACAAATTCATATTCTTAATCATATCTTTTGTTCAATAGAACTTTTTAATTAAAAAACAAAATTATTTGTTATTGACCAATTAATATTGTTGTTGAAGATTAATTTGACTATTTGTCAAGAAATAGTAATAAAAACATGTTATGCCATTTCTTTAACGCACAAACATGATTTAGTGTCATAGTGTTTCTTATCTTTAAAAATAATAAAGTCGGAAAAATACAAAATCATTACAAAGACAAATCGATATAAATTTTTTATTAAAAAAAAAAAATACATTTTAAATTGTCTTAATACCTGTCAGAGCCAGTATATTTCACTTTGCCTGGCAGTAGAGTCGGACCCGTGCCGAGCTGTACCCTAGCAGTTGTCCCGCAGGGTGGTGCCAGTTTCCCGACCGTCCAGTTCCATTCACACCAATCACTAAAAATAAGAATAGTACAACACTTCATTAATACAGATGACGCAATTTTATTGTATTAACACACTAAGTCAGATTCATCGTTAAGAACCATATGAAATTTGAACTTAGTTCATTGCTTGGGTTATATGATCGGTAGACTTTAATATTTGTGATTTTATTTTAATGTACTTTTACCAGTCATTAGCCACATCGTCTATAGATAATTACTGTTCTAAATTTTATACATTGTTAATAAATTATTTTGTCTTGCTAATACAGCGTATAACATCTATATATTTCAGTTTTACACAATTTACAATTAAAGTAATACAATTTGTTTGCCAATAAATTAGAAATATTAAAATATTACGCTTTTTTCAAAATAACCATTTTTAAAAAAGAAACGTAAATTAAAAATATACAACTATGAGTGAATCTATTAACAATAAGCTAACTGTCAGAGCACAATGTACGTAATTTTTACATAATTATTATAGAATAATAATATATTTAATTTACCTATATAATTATAAGGAAAGTATTATAAATATATATTTCAATGATAGATGTAGTCCGCATCACCATCATCTTCCGCTGACATACCAGGTAAATTATCAAAAAAAAAAAATTTAATTATTTAATCATTTTTTAAACAATTGTATTCATTAGGTCCGTCTCGGCAGTCAGTTAAACGTAAAAGTAGAGTTGACAACAGAACGGTAAACGATCGCGTTTACAGTTAACTAGCACAGCTGATTTCATCGAGATAGATTCGGTTTTGGACAGAGGCGTTAAACCTCAACTAATCGCTTGACCCGGTGAAATTATTAGCGATAGACACAATCGCTTAAATATAATCTGAAATTGGAGGCCGCCAATCAAATTCCGCGATTAGAAATACCTTCTAAAGGCCTAGCTTTTGAGACCAAATCTAGAACAGTTTTTCTTGACAAGGGGCTTGAGCAGTGTGATTGATGAAGATTTTCAGATTGTTGTCGCTGAGGAGGACGCGTACTCGGTCAAGGGCAGCGGGTTTACCTTATCCTGTATTGACGGTCTCTTGTTAGGTGTATATAAATACACTCCCCTTAAGTGGATCATCTTATATAGAGTTATCTCGAGAAATTTTAAATAAAAAATTAAGTTGAACAAGTTGTCATTTTAAAACTCTCTCTGTGGGCAGATAAAGGGTCAGATTTATAATAAAAATATATAAAATGATAAGTAAAAACATTATGCAACTATAATAAAAAGTTATATTGATTTGGTCATTTTTGAAAAAGTTATGGCAGTTTTAAGTAAGAAAATATGAAAAAATTAGCAATTTTTAATTTCTTGGGGATTTCCCCCATTTACGGGGAACGATGGAAATTTTTCATTTTATGAGGATAGTGTCTTTGACTAGATATGATTTGTAATCATTTGACGTATCGTTGAAAAATATCGGTTCGGTGAGCCTGAGAAAAAGTGGTAGCAGACACAAAAAAATAAAAAACAACATAATAAAATTTATACCTTATCCGGTCCGAGAATGACGTGAATCTCCTTATTTAATTCTACTTTCGTTGTTCAAATATTGGTGCATTATTAATGATGTTTTATTAAGTATTTATAAAATAAATCTGTTATAAATGGAGATTTTCAGATTTTATGTGAAACTGAGATATCGAATAAAGCCTAGTACTCCTCAAAATAATATAGCCAACGATCATAAATTCAGTTTTCATTATCGTACGCATTTCATTGGAGTACTACTAATTTATCGAGTAATTATAACTTAAATAAGTACAAAAGCTAATTGTATATTGTTTTACTATTTAAATAAAAAGTTTGAATGATTTACCGTTGACAACTAAATTTCTCGTGAAATAATAATAATTTTAATAATTCTTTTTTGTTTAGTATTGATTATTTCTCAATATATAAGTAACTAAATATTTTTTAAACTAGTCCCTTTCAAGGGCTACATATTAATTTTTTTATAAGTGGCAATATATATATATTTATCTATTCTAAACGTTAGAACATGGTCTAATTAAAAAAATGACTGGTCGATAGCAACCTTTGAATCAGTAATTCAGGAGATCATCAAATTAATTAAATTTTAACGGATTAATAACTTGTTATCATATAGGACAAATTTAGTAGCCAATAATAAACGAATACATTTTTTATTAAAGAAAAAAAACGATTTCGAGAAGAAGTAATTCAAATACAATGAAATTTGCTTACTTTAATGAACGATATCATAGCACTTAAAATTGCGCCCACGTACTTTGTAGATAGGTAATGAGCAAAAGATTTAATAAAACTTTTCTCCATTCGAAATATTTATGTATATGCAATAAAATGATTTATTAAACAATATTTAGTAAGTGACAATAAGTATAATTTTTATGACGAAAATGTTTTATAGCTATCTGTAAGAGGGAATATAACAAAAAAAAGTACAATTCTTTTTTCATTATTATCAGCGCGTTTCGTGACTAAAATGTATAAAAGTCTACAGTGCTTGGAAATATAAACTTTTTAAATGATACAAATAAAATAAATCACCATTAAATTTTATTATTTTGTTATATTACTTTAATTTTTGAAGTTTTTTTATTGAATATAAATTTTATTTTTACCGGTAACAATTATAAATGCTATTATAATGAACACGATGCGTCATTGTATGTTATCGTCGTAGTGATTATTAAAATCGAAATTTGTCGCAACAAAAATTGAAATTACATATCTAAAAAATTATTTTAGTAGTTTATTATAAAGTAAATATCTAATATATATAAATCTATTCTTTATTAAGTTTGTATTCTGGGTACATATCTGTTCTGTTTCTGATGAATCCAGTTTTGATAGATATTGACTTTATGCCAAATATTACTAGAGTCTTTATCATGTGACGATATTATTGATTGATTTAGACAATGTAACAAATTTATAAGCTAATTTAAATATTACCTACATCACCCATCCCTGTAGAATATTTTTCATTTTTATTATATAGACTTTTGAATGTTTCATTAGATAAATATAATATATTATACAATCATAATCAATAGTTATTGTTTTGTATCTTCAGCTAACGCAGTAGTATATTCAATTTTGCTTTCTTGTGATATAATACGATCTTTAATATTATCCAATACAGACCGTCGGTATGATATTAGATGATCTCTCTTTTTAAGGTAATGTCTGCCAATTTTTTTATTAATTTATGAAAGTCAGGTATAATTTAAGTTTCAAGATCATTTATAATTATAAATCCAGAACAGAAATAAATAGTTTTTAAATTATTATATACTTTTTACTTTGTAGTTGAATATATCTGAGAATTTCTTTTGGCTAATTATTATTTTTCCGTGGATATTACTTCGTAATCATCGCCAGACGATAATATCATAATTATTGAGTCCCATTGCGAAAGATCTAGGACACTAATCAGCAGAACTAGTACCTGTTGGAGTATTCAGTATCCATGACGATGGGTCGCCTGATTTGCGTGGAAAACAATTTTTTGCGGGTACTTTATTTAATGGATCATAAAGTTCTGTAAAAGCATATCCTACAAACCATCTATTGACGTCTTCGTCTCAGACACCGAAATGTCTCATAATAATGCAATCAACGAGTTCTAAAGAATGAAAATTATACAGTGGATTATTTGATATTATTTTTTGCAATTTTATTGAGTAATGGTCTGCCTTTCTGTAATAATACGTGTGTCACCGTGACAACGATATAAGCCTAGTTGGCGTTACAATAATAATGTGGGATATGATCTCGTATATGTGATCGCTTTAATACTAATCGAAGAATTTTACATTTTTACCACGAGCAGATATCAATCAATACTAATCTAAAAAATACCTTATCAACACTTTACTGGGTCTTTACTTTTTAGCATTAACTATTTATTACCTAATCTTTGACTTATAATTTGTATGTGAGCGTGATTTAAAAAAACTCTTTATTATACATAACAGTACAACTCATTATTTATATGCCATTTAGTTAACATGTAATATTTAGAGTATTGTTTAATTGCTAGAAATTATGTAATATAACACTTATGACATTTTAAATTGGTTTCTTACGATTGATATCACTGAATGATTCAAAAGCTCCCAAAAGTCAGTGTGCTAATATTAATAGACATATTAATTTTACAAGCAATTAATGTAGTTTTGTTTATTTATTTATTAGAATATACATGCCCAGAGGGTACAAATAACATAACATTAAAATTGATATAAGTTAATAATTTTTAATATTTTTTAGCCTAAGACAATATTTTAGCATGTCTATTATGAATAAAAAAAATTAGAATAATTTAAATAATTTCCCATAAACATTAAACAATTCAACGGAACATTTATATTATACTTGTAACAAAATGTCGGAACATTAAATGACTTTGAGCTTCGTTAATTTTGTCTCGGATCATGAAACGCTATAATACTCAATATTTCTGAACAATCTATTTTCTCATCCAACAAATTAAAGATCCATATAGTATTTTAATATTTTCTTCTAATCATAAGTGATTTGATATTATAAGATTTCATTATTTGTGAAATTTTCAACTCTTATTATGAATGCAAAAATTTTAATAAATTTTGTTTGCAAATAGATGAAAGACGTTTAACGAACAAGAGCAACGCGTTATGCGTTTTTACTAATTTTATATGACATACTTAATTACCATACTCATAAGATATATCCCTCAAAAATGAACAATTGTTTTGGCTACCTCTTGCTTTTACTTATTGGACCTCTTTTTGGCATAGCAAATTCTATACTACCGCCTTAGTCTAATCCCGCTTACCGCCTCTAGAAGTTCTTCAGTATCAGTCTAATTCCCTTCGGCTGAGCTATGCAAGTTTTCTAGTCCTTTCTACAAGCATAGACTTCAAGAAAGTTAAATATAAAATCCATTCTAACCATACTAATACTAATATTTAAGATAGCTTAAATCAGTCGCCATTTGTTCAAGATCACTTTTAATAAATTATTACCATAACGGTAATTTAGATTTTCAAAGCTATTTTCGCTACAAAAGTTTATGTAACTACTTACATTGGAAATTGTTAGTCGTATCTTGAACGTTATGTCTTGACGTCGATATTGATCTGTTAGACGTCCGATAACATATACAGTAAACAGTCAATATGATGACACATACACCCAATATAGACAAGACAACGAGTGTAGCCACTGCTAATGCAGTGAAATTAATGCCCAATATCGTTTGTGACGTTGTGCCTGTAATTTATTTGAATTTTTAAAATATATTTTACGTAAAACTATTTTCTAAAAATTGTGTGAATATCAATCACAAATTATGCTAATAGTCGTTTATAATATTATCTTGAGCATTTTTACCTTGACAAGTGGGAGTAGTCTCTTCGTCTGAACCATCGGGGCAATGGCTTATTGTATCACATACTAAGTCTTCAGATATGCAATGTAAATGTGTGTGACATTTGAATTCCCTACAATTGTGGACTGCAACCAATGAAACTACGATTAAAGAAAATCAACAAAACACGGGTTAAGCCTTTTCGGTCCATTAGATTATTCTATGACCTAAGTGCTATCCCTGTATGTTTTTCTTATAAATTAATTCTGCGGGTACTATTATTATTATTATTAATGTATTTTCAAATACATTTATATTTGTATCAGTGAGAAAAAATAATAAGTAAATAAATAATAAGCGCAACGAGGGTTAGATTACATCATTCCATGTGATTTTAATATATTATAATAAAATTAAATAATACAAATGTATTATAGATTCGACAAAATTTTAAGATTTGGTTGGACAATTGAAATTACGAAATAAACGTTCTAATCATATAGAAAAATATTTGAAAAGTTTAGGATCTATTCAAACAATTTAAAGGTGACGTTAATTTAGTTTTTATATTTTCGGTTTGGTCGATAAAATGTTTATCGTTTCAAATTTAATGTCGAAAATTGGACTTGGTAAAATAACACGTATCACAAATTATTTATAAAAAAATACGATTGAAATATTTTAATGAGGTTTTCACTCATTTACGCCATTATCACTGAATTAACAAATCAAATTTATATATATATATATATATATATATAATATATTTTGAGAAGTGCAACAGAATTTGTAGATTAACTGAAGAAACGTTTGGGTACTCACATGGGTCTTTGAATGCCGTCACAATTAATCTAAATCCGTTGGAACGCGTTCCCCAACCGTCTGTCACGTACTTGAGCGTGACAAAATTCGTTCGTGTGAATATCACACCGACGGACTGCTTCGTATTGCTGCAAGTTATGTCGGCCTGAAAACGTGTAAGAGACGAACAACAATTAATATTATTGAATACAGTGTAAATAACTTAAAATGCCATGTGATGCATCTCGCTTAATGACAAGTATACACAATATTTTTTATTCTATCTAGAATGAGTTGACATTAGTCATTATCAATATATTATCTCTATTATCTTATGCGTTATTTTTTGGCAAACACGAGAGATTATACAAAACAAATGGTTCAACGTCTCCCGCGAGAAAACTTTAGGTGTTTTTTTATGTGCTCTCGCCAACTTATGCTACTTAAAATAGTTTGATACGTGAGAATCTGGGCACGATTATCCTTATAAAATATTTTATGGACTCATACAAAGTTTATTTTGTAAAACCGAACAAATTTGAATCATCCTCATGAACTGCTATGATACTTTATTTTGAGTATCATAGATAACATTTAGTATTGTCTAAATAAATTTACTTTCAGGCATTTCTCATAAATTAAAAGCTATTGTTTCTTATTATACACAACATTTAACTACTTAAATGCTTCCTCTTAAAAAAACTAGAAGTCCATTTAAATAAATATTTCTTGATTGCTGTTAAATTAAAAAACTTTTGACGTTGTAATTAAAACATTTCATTTAATTAAAAAATGAAACATTACACTGTAAAATTTATTACTATACAGCACTTAAATTAAGATCAAGGTTTATTAAATATTCATGATAAGTATTAAACAAATCTCCAACAAAACTTTCTATTTGAGTTATTTATTTTTATAATTTCTCTCTGTAAATAAATAGGATAATGTTTCAAATATAAATCTGGGGCTTAAGTTTAAAATGATCAAAGTATAAAAACGAAAACAATTTTTTTTACTTTCTAAATACTACTGTAAAAAAATATAAAATGATTGTAATATGATTAAAAATTCTTCTTAAAGAAGAACATTAGCCTTTAGTCTAGATGTAATGTAATAAACATAAATGCTGCTTTTTTTATATGCAAGTTGAAACATTACATTCTTCTATTTCTGGGATAATAGAATACAAATTTATAGGAATTAATAGCTGTATGGGCGGAAGTTGTTAAAAAACAGCTTACGTAGTCAAATCAGTATAGGTATAGGCGTAGGTATAGGATCAAAATCAAAGCAAATTAATTATTAAACACGATTAAAAAAATATATTCAACACTATTTTTTTCTAATTAAGTTGAAGCATACTGTTGAAGATACAAAAAAAACAAAAATGAAATATCGTAAACATCAACCCCGTCAAGAAATCATTGTAAGAAATGATTTAAAAATGCCCATACGTCAGTATGATACTTTTAATATATATGTTATTTTTACACGTGAATAGTGTAATATTGACATAAAGTATTCTAATATTCGTACAAGAATATAACATTTCTATTACTATTTATCAACATTTCCCCTTGCTTTGTATGTATTAAAAACTTTCAGTATATAAAAAAAACATTATTTTAAGGATGTAATATTCTTCAACGTAAATAATCTACTATCAATAAATCAACTCAATCGATTCAAAATTTTAATTATAAATATTGTGCTCATAATGCCTAATTATTTTTTTATTTGATGAAATAAATGTATTTTTCTATTAAAATATTACGTGGTTGCATAAACTCTGAATCACGCACTATTACAAATTTACGCCTAAATAGGTGTGTGCCCGTTACTTAATAAAAACATCAAAAATGCCTAACGATAGTTTTTGTTATTAAGAAGAAATTTCTTATGCACACAGACTTATAGATCCATTGTGCGAATGATAAGGCGATTTTCGTTTAATTAACTTTGTGATATCTAGTCCATTTAAAAATAGTAAAATTCGGGTCTTTAACACATATTAATAAACGAATTCTTGGAAATAAAAAATTCGGCATTACTTCAATTTTACGTAGCTACGAATCGCTGAACCAATGTTTTTAATGTCAACTACTGGAGACTTGTTTAACACATCAACTAAATATCGTACAATTAAAACTTATAATATTATAGTTCTCCTTACTTATTATTAAATTTAGATTTATATTATTGTTTTATTATTCTATTTATTATTAAATATAAGTTTCTAATATTTATAGTTATTTTAAAACATTACGTTTTGAGAACAGAAAATAAACCAAATATGAAAAAATAAGAACGCCTAAAATACACTCTGAAAAATGTACCAGAGGTCGCTACATACAATATTCAATAGATGGCGCCAAAAATCAAAATATTTAAATGCTTGATGTATGAATTGCAATAACCGAGTACAATTGCAAATCAAGTTATTCTTCTCAGGGACACAATTTTCAATTAAACGTTTGTTTATAATTTTCATACTAGATAAAAAAGTCGAGATAATTAAATTAATCATACTCGAAACGTTTTTATATCGTTATAAGAGCTGTAAAAACAACTGATTCGATATGCTAGGTATAGCAATAACATAAAACAAAAAAATACAGTTGAACCCAGAGATGCAACAAAAAGGACTTCGGATTAAATTGAAATCTGAAGAGAGAACATTATGTAAAAATAAGTAGCGATAGAAGTAAAAGTAGCTTAGCCGACGAAAACGTAGAATTTTTTACTGCCGCATGATACGAAAACGTAAAATTTTTTAATACAGTAGTATTATCAAATGGTAAGAACGCATTTTTTAATATCAATTATAAAAACAACAGCACAAGTAGTCGCGACACAGTATGGACGTAGCATAATTGGGACAAGTGTAGATGATATCTGACAGTGATAAAATCACTATCATAAGAAACGCTTCGATGCAAATCTGTAGATAGTGTTTAATTCTAAGAATTGATGGATAATTACAAAAACTACATGATCTCCCATTTCCTTATTTATATTCTGATTAGTTGTTCTTTGATTTAAAAGCATAATATATCAATAAATAATAATTATAGTAATTAAATTTAATATGAAATTGATGTTCAATAATATAACCATCTACAAGGAACTTTCATTAGAAGCAAAAATATACTTTTCTATATTAACTTTTTGCGCTGCTTTCAAATCTGTAATTAGACTTTTTGAATAATTTCTAAGTTTTAATATTATTACTAATTACATATAAAATAATAATAAAACAACAGAAATGGGAATTTCATCCAGAATATTTAATTTAAAAAAAAGATAGTACAGTGGGGTTGCAGCACAGTATGGACGTGGCTCAGTTTTAGCGAACAAAAAAAAAAATTATTACTAACTTTGATTTTTAATATTTTAAAAATAATCAGTCCAAAATTTAATTTTAACTTATTTTTTGGTACTTTATTGTTCATGAAAAATGTTTAATAATGTTTTGTGAAAAATTACAGTAAAAAAAAATAAATATGTTGCCATAACTTTTATCTCAACTACAAGTTTGAAATTGACATCATTAAATAGATAATTTTATGAGAATTAGAAAAAATTGCATTTTTAAGATTAATATGCAGTCAGAAAATTTTATAATTACTATTTACAGTATATTTATCAGATAAGCTCAATATTTTTTCGCATTTTTATCGTAATAGAACACTTAAGTAGAAATCATAGTAATCATTTCTAAGTAACTTATGGTGTTTAAAAAGATTCTACAATTGAAATATCCAGAATTAATTAATTCTGATTTAATTTTAATGATTTACTTTAACTAAAAAAAACAATCAAAATATTGTTAAAAAAATGTACACAACTGAACGTTTTATAAAATTTGATTATTATTGTAAAAAGCCATTGTTAAATCCAGGTGAAACTAAAAATAATTTTTTTTGGAAATTATTTATATAGCAACATGTTACCCGTGTATAGTGTTACACGCACAAATAGAGTTAAACAATAATAAACTACTAAGTAAAATTATTCAATTTTATAGTTGGCACCATTATCATATCAAACTTAATTCGTCAATAAATACTTTGAAAATATTAGAACTGAATAATTTTAATTATCTATTTGGGTATATTACCCAAATATGGGCTTAGTAACTTTTTAATTATTAAAGTGGAATTTTTGTTCAATTTTTGAAGGTAATATCTTCAACTAGATACGAATTGTAATCATTTGACGTATCATTAAATAAAAGTAGATCAAATGAGAGCAGAGAAAATAAATGATAGTCAAAAAAAAATACCCTCTCAGCTTTGCATTGAAGCTAAAACTATATAGTAAAATAATTTTAATATGAATAAGAAATTTTTTCTCGCGAGGGGCGACTACAGTGATGGGATCCTTGATCTTTATTGAAGTTATTGAATCTAAATGAGACAAAAATCAAATAAGTTGAACATTTCATTCGAACTTAAATAAAATAAAGAAAAAAATGTTTACACAGGTGGGTTTGAACGTCGTACCCCAAGTGCGTAAGATTTAAGTGTTACCGACTTAGCCATTGTATTCGTCGACCGAAAAAAATTGCAATATAAGCTAATTCAAATTTCAAAGTTATTTTTCTTGACTTAAAAGAACGAAATTAACTTATTTAAACTAATTTATTTACTATATCAATTAGATTTATATAATGTTTATAAAAATTTGTGTACTCCTCTTGTTAGGTATTTTAAAATAAAATAAAATACAACACCCAGATATTTTAACATAAAAATAGCATATTTTTGAATAAGGTAATCATTTTCAGGACAATTTTTTTTTCAAATTAATGTATATTACATAATCTTTAATTTAAGATATATATAAAAGTGTCAGTATTTCTGGAACACTTTCAAATATTAAATTGGAAAAATCCTAGTTTTAATACGCATGTTTAAAGTTTTGACCTCCTTGTATAAAGGGATATGGTCCGATTAAAAAAAAAAGTATGTCAGATGAAAGAAATATATATAAAGTATGATTAAAAAATAATAATATTGATCCATACATTTTTCAAAGAATTATAGCAATATAAATTTAAAAATAAAAAACAAACATTTTTTCACGGAAATCATACGTTTTTATTTAATTTTGATGTCCGCTGTCACCATGAAAACTAGTCCAGAAGTCAAATTTTTTATT